AAATTCAGTTGGAATTGTGCTTCATGATGGTGAGATCCCTCAAGTCATAAAAAGACTGTCTGAGACCTGTCCTCTGAATCTCTTCTGATCTTCCACTTCCAGGTTCTGAATTTTCCAGCTAATAGTAGAGGAGCCCAATCACCTATAGGTCAGGCAGGAGCTGTGGTTAGATCTGTACTGTACACCCAACCTCTGTTTCTGCTCTTTCTGAGCTCCACTCTACTTTAAGTTGCCACTGACCTTTAAAATAAAGTCTATTTAGATGTAGCAAATGTGATAGAAGTTGTATGTATTTATGTGTAACTGAATTGTCAGAGTTTCAGTATTTAAGAAAACTTTTGTTCCATTTTCTCAGTGAGGAGAAACTCCCAACTTTCCACATGTGAAGGAGCCTAAAGCTCAATACTTTAGCAAAGATGGTATAAACCAGAATTTATCTCTCTGTTCTACTATCTATTTGACATTCCAGTAGCTGACTTCATTGGTGTTAGTGTTGGTGAGGATGGGAAACATTAAGGGGATTTTGAAAAGCTTGAAGGAAAGTCTTAAATGTTCATCAGACACAAATGCTGTTAATATTCTAACTTAATTTTTCCTGATGGAGCATATAAAATACATGTACACTAAAAGCTAATCAACCTCACTGGAATATCAGGCATCTCAAACCTGCAGCTAACTCTCAAAATGTGTAGTTTAAAAGCGATTCAAAGAGAGCATCAAGACTATTTAAACTTGCTTACAGAAAAGATTTCTGTAGCTATAAAGGCTAAAAATGCTGCGTAGTAATTACAAATTGTTGACATAGTTCTACTACATTTCACATGTAAAGCTTTATCTAAGCTTAAATTCAGTGCTGATGTGCCTGTAGCTTCTGTATGAGGTCAGCATGCTTTAGAATGGACATGTGGAAGCTTTTTTGTGCTGCTTCAGCACAGCTAAGGTGACTTGCAAGAAGCAAGAGTGTAAGGGACAGCTTGTCTTGAAAAAATGGGTAGATGCAGCATTTTGATAGGGGAAGGTACTGACAAAATATATTATAAAATAGTTTAGGCCTCTTAATTAACTTGTGATAGTATAAACATGCTGAAGAAATGAGGCTGTGGTATTTGAAAAAAAAAAAAAAAAAATTGGACAGTCCAGAAAGCCTAATTTCTGTGACTGCGTAACATTTACTGAATTGATTAGTAATATTTTTCACTAAATAGTGTATATAATGAAAAACCTTAATCAAGCTTCACTTAAATTCCTGTTCTTCATTTGCTTCCATATTTTGGTTTAATACTTTACTGTCTAAGTAATTCAATTTAGTGGCCTGCTTTAATTTAGAACCAGGTGATAAAGTTGAACCTGAAAATATTTTGTTATGCTCTTTGAGCTTTGATTCTGCGGAGTATGGTTTTGACAGCTGGACTTTTCCTGCCTACCTCAGGCCATCACAAAACTTCTAAACAGTATTTGGTTTTGTAGTGCAAGGCCTGTCCCGGTCTGGATACAAGTTATTAGACTAAAATGACTGAAAGTCATTCCTGAGGGCATAAGCCCAAAAGTTGCTAATCAAGGATCTTGTAATAAGTCTCCTGTAATAAAAAGGGCAGTACAGAAAGATACATGTAGAATATAAGGCTCTGGGGAAACCTTGTAGCGGCCTTCCAGTACCTGAAGGGGCCTACAGGAGAGATGGGGAGGGGCTTCTTAAAAGAGCGTGTAGTGACAGGACGAGGGGCAATGGCTTTACCTTGGAAGAGGGCAGGTTTAGACGAGATGTTAGGAAGAAATGTTTTCCTGTGCAAGTGGTGGCCCAGGCTGCCCAGAGAAGCTGTGGATGCCCCATCCCTGGAGGGGTTCAAGGCCAGGCTGGATGAGGCTTTGAGCAACCTGGGCTAGTGGGAGGTGTCCCTGCCCATGGCAGGGGGTTGGAACTCGATGATCTTTAAGGTCCTTTCCACCCCAAACCATTCTGTGATTCTATGTTTCTGTGAATATCATGACTTCATTTTTTCCAAGCTACCCTGTGAAAAGGATGCTGAGGTGGAACTGCTGACGGAGGGCAGTGAAAGGCTCCTCTCCTAAAGCTGTTTGACGTTCCACCACAGATTGGATCTTTCTGGGACAGTTTAGCAAGAAGCAAAAATTCACATGTGGGGTTTCTTCACAGAAGTAGTGCTGTATATTAAACAGCCATAGCGAAGATAAGAATTGGACTCGAGTGATTAAAAACTTTTAAAAAATACAGTTTTGTGCTGTAGTGTGGCATGTTTTCAGCAAGCTAAGAGCATCAGGGAATGAGGAAGAGAGCACCTAACGCATTGGGTATGTGGAAGACCTGCTAGGTGGAAATAGTGGGTGCTAAAGCTGATGGTCAGGTCTGAGGATTTCCAGGAATGTACTTGTCAGGAGTCTGCCAAAGTGTCCATGGGGAACAGTTTTTGAGGGTTGTATGTTCAGTACAGTTAGTGCATAAAACTGCTCTTTACAGGGAACACCCTACATTTGTAAAGGGCAGAGTTAGGTTAGCTGCCCTCTTCCAGGTCTGCTTTTCAGGTGCTTTCAGATGGGCTCCTTTTGCAAACTGTGGGGTAGTGCATGCTAAGGAATGATACTTGCTTTGGACATCAGGTGTGGTATATGTGTGTAGTGACACCTTTGATTATCAGTTCTCCCCCTAGGTCTATGTAAAAAATAGTGTAGAATTCAACTAAATAAAAAAATGCCACTTTAAAAACATTGAAACAATCAAGCTAAAGATTTTCTTGTAATTGTTACCAATAACACCTGATTAGTTTTAAAAAGTTGAACTGGTTTATTGAACTCCAGCATCTAGTCTTACTTTTCATTCTCATCATTGCTATGCTGACCAATATGTAACTTTCTCCTTACTTTTACAAATGCAAAATACAGGGAAAATAGGATCTTCCTATATACGTTTAACTTAACTTTCAGTTAATTTTTTAACATTAATTTTATACCAGTAATTAGTAAAGAGTTGGTAATAAAAAGTGAGATTTCAGAACAGTTTCAATTACATCTGCGGTTCCGAATGACAAGCAGCAGTTAGTGTTCTGGGGTCTTTCTGTAAGTAACTAAAGTGGCATATTATTCTTACAGATAATTCTGTACTTTGGCATCTGAAAATATAGTATCTGTGGCTCAGTGTTCCATAACAACACATGTTCTGAATAGAGATAAAGAAAAGGACTTTCCCAGCTAGCTACTTCAGGGGTAGTTTTTAAGGAAAAGCAATCTCTTCATTTAGATTAAAGAGCAGTTTAATAACTTCATAGGAATGAATCAAAAAAAAAAACTGTAGCGGAGTAAGTCTGCATCGCTGCTGGCTGAATCCCTGTTAGGCAAACATCTACGTGTTTCTTTATATAATTATCACAAGAGGTGATAATAAAAGAGGTGATAGCAGTAAACACAGTGACAAATTGTAGTAGCTCTGTATTTGTAAAGCTAAATTTATACCTCTTAATTTTTTTACAATCCATCTCTTTAGCAATACATGCAAGGCAGATCTCATGAGCTTGTGAAATTGCTGCAGATGACAAAATAAAGAGCAAAACTACCAATCTGTACATCTACTTGAAAATGAAAGAGTTACGTGAAGAACAGTTTGATCACTAAGTTCAAGGCAGGTGTTAAAATCTCTGAGATAGGGCAGAGGCAATGATCAGATACTAATTTTTTGATCTCAGTCAAATCCTGTCCCTATAGTATGGATTACAGATTCCTTGGTTTGTTTTTTCCCAAAATGTGAACTTCTAAATAACAAGGTTCACAGATTTCTAAACGAGAATTTAAAGTCTCTTTAATACATTGGAGGTGTAATAATAGACATAGATTTAGTTCTCATAGGGCTTAACTCCTCAGGGTTCTGTTACCCTTAAGAGACATTTGCTCCTGAACGGAATAGCTTGCGATAGGACCTTCAGAGTACTTAATGCTTGACGAGCTTTCGTCATCTTGCAGAACTCAGTTTTCCAGGTAGTTCTCAGGACAAGCTAGAACTAGTTCCTTCTGGCTCCTCTTTGGTAGACTCTTGGATTAAAGCGGTGCAAAACATAAAACCTCAGTTTTTCACTGTGCCCAGCAGTGCAGGCTGGAGGAGCTACATGCGAGTTGGAGTAAAACAGCATCCAGGTGTTAAAACTTCTCCCAGGTTCATTATTAATCCCACACAACACAAAACTAACTCAAGGAAGCTGTGTATATGCATATAAAGGAATAATTTGATATTAATCCTTAAACATGGTTTCCACTAACCCAAATCCTGTTTGCTTTGACTTCAGAAAGGACAAATCAGGATTTGTGCTGTAATGAAGTTTTGTGCATTTTGAAATACTAGTGTATTTAGCATTTCTCTTTTTATGTTACCTGGTTTAGAAAAGAATTTTGCAAGAGAAGGTTTATATTAAATTACTCGTATCTCTAGTTTCTTCTCCTAAGATTTTGCAAAAGACTTTTGTATGTATCTGAATGACAGTATATGAGAATATACTATGTCATTTTTTAATAACTAGCAGAAAATTCATTTTCTGATTGTAGTCCTATTAGACATATAAAAAGCAAACTATTTTACTTTCAGTATCCTCCTTTCAGATGCACAAAGTAAATTGCAATTACTTTTTTCAAAAAATGCTTTTTACATATTTTGCAGTAGTGCCCTTTAATATCTATATCGATATAAATATTGTTTTATTTTTATTAGACTTCATATATATATTGACATATCTGTAACACTAAACATGAAGCTTCCAATGCAAGAGTTTGTACATAGTCCATATCCAAATGTCACCATTCTTTCATTTAAAAGATCCCAGCATGTCTACCTCATGATCCTTATAAACTCTATAGTACTGAAATACGTCAACACTTTTTCTTGCTACATTCATTAAAATTAAGCACCCTTACCCTACCCCATCTGTAAACATCAAGTCAATTGGCAGCTAGCACATTTCTCAGTCAGCAAGCAGTATTGTGAATTTTATCTTCTCTTGCAGAAATCAATTCGTCTTCGTTGCAGCAGATGAAATTTCTTGTAACACCTCTGCAGGTAACAATCATTGATACTTCTTGATGCATCCATCCAGGTCTCAATATCCTTTTTCACATGCTGCATTTAATCGTAAGAGAAAGCACAGGAAAGTCCATACTATAAATCTTTGGAATAGTTTAATTAATTTATAGCTTGAGCCTGTAGGTTCTGCCATATAAAAGACTTAGGTTATTTTGCTGACTTTGCTGTTTTATTTCCAGTTTAAATATCATATGACCTAGAAAAGTAAGGATATGTTAAACCAAGATTGAGACTTTTAAAAAGCCAAAACCAACAGAGCTAATGGAAAGAGTAAAGGCTTAGATGTACACAGGACATTGTAAGTGCTCTAGATGTAACAGTTTTCTTTTCAACTCTTTGGGGGCAAATGTTGCCCACAAGGGTACTGCAGACCCTAAAGCACTCACAAAGTCTATCCTATGGATGAGATAGTGGGAGAGAGGGTCTGTGTCTTCAGAGGATCGCTCTCTAGTAAGTAAAAAGTCTTGGCTGCTTTGCTAATATACTATCATGTTGTAAGCTGGGGGTGCAGAAGAATGAACGTTTGTAAAAGGTAATGGTTATTTATAAATACATTGAATATGTCAAGGGATTTTCTCTCTTTAAAGCAATCGAGTTTGAAAAATCTTAGTCTTAATTCAGGTAAGGATGGTATTATGTCACTACATAAGAAATCAAAAACCAAAATAAATAGTAACAGTCCTGAGACATATTCTGACAATAATGTTATGCAAAAAATCTGCTGAGTTCATAGAAGCTGCCTGTATTGAAGGATGAAAGGATATAGAGTGTGACACAAAATGTTGGTATTGAGAAGTGTTTATTTGTAGAGTTCCATATTAGCAGAAATAAATGAAAGGTGAAGACTTTTCTGTTTGTGCTATAGTGACCTACTTAGAAACAAATAAAGAACTTTTTTGATGAAGAAGATCATAGCTACAGCCAAAATATGCTGCAATTGTAACAATCTGTGTGCTAGCTATAGCATTTTTGGTGGTAATCTGAAAAGTTCTTCTGTAACAAATCCTGATTTAACATAGATTTTTCAAAGTCCTAAATCATTAAGAGAATACAACTGGAGAAGTCAAGATTTGACACTTTCTTGATCTCACTAGACTTGGATTTTGGCTTTCATTATTTCATTCGTGCTTCCTGCTCGGCTCCAGATTAGAGTGAGCTGTAGTAGGGAGACTACTAACTTATAAATCTAGGCCTTGCTAAGTAAGACTAAATAGAATTATTTTAGCAATTTTTAAACTTGGAATTCTTGAGCTAGGCATGTGGTCTTTAATATTTTTCTTGTCCTGACAAGAATTTCTTGTTTTACAGAGCGAACCCTTCTAAGCAGTAATTATTTTTCTAATAAATACTTTTTTCCACCCTTAGTTCAGGCACAATTTAAGTGCCCAAGACTATATTATACTTATTTCATATATAACTACTTTGAAATTCCAGTCAAAAATATAGTGCTTTTGTCTATCCAGTAAATTCCATTAACTTTACACAGAAGGAAATGGATCTCTGTGTATATTTATTAAAACTTTTCAGTTTACCAGCTGATTACCTCTGTTGAATTGATTCAACAATAAGGTATTTTTGTTAGGTATGGGTTTGACCATATGATAAATATATCCATCATAGGTGACTGGAGGTGTCTGTTTTGTGATATGATCTGAAAGAGAAAGCTATTTAAAGCCTCTATCTTCTGTTTCTTGTATATCTGAATTTTAGTCATAGAATTTAAAGGACTTTTGGCTTTATTTAAAAAAATAATTCTCTGGCCCATATTGCTATGGTACAAGTTGCCAAAGTTGCATTTGGTCTTTCAAATCTGTAAGTTGACTTACAACTAATCTGTTATCTGATGTTTTGTGTTTTAATACATGGAGCATATATAGAGATACATAAACTTTTAGAACCAAAGATAATCTTCCTGTGGTTTATCAGATGCATGCAAAACATCTACAGTCCGATTTATAGGTCTTTTTTTAGTGCTCCTAAATTCAGTTACAGTAATTCCATTGTATTTGTAAAATTGATGTGAAGATACTGATAATATGCTCAATGTTTGAAATGTGAGTATACGTATGTCTGTATTGTTTCATTGTAAAGAAATGTGTGTGTTCCTAGATTTCAAATAATAATACACCAAGTAACCTTTGGTTGGGACTTTAACATCAAACGGAAATGGGAGGTCTTGGGTGATTCTGCTGGTAATATTCACTCTTCTCTTCCTAAAGCTTTATCATTCCTGCCCGAGGATACTTAGCCCTCAGCCACATGACATCTTTTCTGATTTAGGAATAAAGTAATCTTGAATAAATAAATGTGTTAATGAACCACTGGCGTGTCCATATACACACTTCAATTTATGTATGTGTTTCTGTTCTTGCATGCACATTATATAAAGAAAACCTATGCAAGTATCTGACAGAGGGATCCTTCTATGGGAAATTTAAAAATATTTCACTCTTGGTTGCATCCAGTGCATTCTGAGGCTAAAAATAATTACTCTTCAGAAGAGAAGTTCTGTGCTGCTGGGATAGATGTTCTCTGGCAGGCATAATTAAAGAGCTTGCAAGCAGACCTGAACTAGAACAGAGGTAGGGGAACTATCCTGTCAGTTTGAAATCTCCTGTCGGTTTGATGGTGGAGTTTTAACAAGGATCTCACCTCTAGCAGATCTCTGACAATGAGTACATTAGGGGAGAATTATCCTGAGGTTCCTGGCTGATGGGGGCAGTGGACATCTTGCCCCAGCAGGCTCCTAATAAATCAGAATCAGACCCAGAATAAACCCATGGTTTATTTACATGTTGGTTACAGAACATTGTTCATTTTGAATCTTCATCATTTTTAATGAATTTTTCCAATCAGTGCTCAATATAATTTTTTTTCTTTTACATTTTGTAAGATCAAAAGTCATAGTTTGTAAAGAAAAAATATTTTGTAGTGTTTTTCACTTTAGAATGAAGTGCATTCTAGGATGTAGCTGCATATTACATGTTATGATTTTTGTCTAAATACGGGGCAGGATCATTATTCTATATATATATATCACTCTTTCTTTCTTCCTCCAATTTTTAACTGTTATCTAACTTCCATCTACAAACAAAAGAAAAATCCAGTGCAGCTGCATGCCTTGTATTCTTTTTCTCCCAAGTGTATATGCAGTTTATGATTTTAAAATAACAGAGAGAGAGGCAAGTGTATATATAAACCTGAATTTGTAATGAAGTATGGTGGAAGTGGATATTAACATCTGTCCAATTGTGAGTGTATTTATTTACATATTTGAGCAGAATCATCCCCACAAGGCAGGATTGTGTGTGCGTGTGTGCGAAAGAAATGCATTATAAAGCTTTAGAAGTTGACAGTCCTAGATTAAGTTATTGACCTCCATTTGGAGAAAGATACAGTCTCAAAAACAGATTAAACATTCTGAAAGGTTTAATTTTATAACTCTAGGAAAAATGTTCCATAAAAGCAGGCAGCTTAAGGAAGCAGACATTGGAGTTTGTACTACTGAAATAGTTTGAACGGAATATTGGCATTTTTTAACAGAAGCAATTCTCAAATCATTGCAATTTTCCTGTATAGTCTCATTAACCTGTCAACACTAACACTACCACAAATTTAATACATGAAACAAGAGCAAATATGGAGATACTTATTTAACAGCAGATTAATATTTGACAAGGTGCTTAGAATGGTTGAGGTGTCTGTTGTGGCGTATCTCCACTATGGTATATAAATAATCATAGCTGGTCAAAATTTGCCATACGCACATACGTACATCTCATTGACTTAGTTGTCTGTCTGATAGGAGACACTGATCAAATTATACTCTTTTGAAGGAATTTCCAAGAATTACATATAATTCAAAATGTTTTGGAAGAATGCAGTTTCAGAGTTATTTTCTTTAGCCTTTTTGAATTAGTGTGTGAAGACATGTTCAGTTGTGAGAGGTTCTTCTAGTATTTATGCCTATGGGTTTGACTTCATATCATGAAGCAGTTTGACTGGGAAAATAACCATTTTCTATGAGATGCTTTTATTATTGTGTTATGCTCTTCCACCAATCAGCTAAAAAATGAAGGAGCATCTCTGAGGTCTTTGCGCTAGTATTTATTTAAGGCTGCACTGTTCTTCCCTGTGAAAAATAGCAGATACTGAAGATTTTGCTCTGGAAAGACTAGGAAATGTTATACTAAGGCACATTATTAAACTTCTATACATTCAAGTGTCCTTTACGTTGTCAGTTTAAACTTGCATTTACTGCTGCTTACATGGAATTCCATTTGTTACTGTTTTTCCCACTCTTGGTAGTTGTGTGGTAAAGATGTTCAGCTGTTGGATCAGTTGATAAAAATCAGTAAATACTTCGATTCTCCTCTGTTCTTCTTTCATGAAGTTTGATTAATTCCTTTTTCTCACCCAGTGCAAACACTGGCAGCCCTTGTTGGCATCTTTGTCATTATCTCTTTGACAGCTTGCCTTCCCGGTGCTTACAGTTCTAGGTCAGTTCGCATGGCTAGTCAAATGTGACAACATGACAAGATTAAGTAAAGCTGAGGTTCTGTGATTTGTAAATGGAGGATTTGCAATGTGAAGCTCCTTTGATAACAGCAGTAGTGAATAATCTGTGTTTGTCCTCAACAAGTGCCTGTGTGCATCTTCTGTGCTGTTTTTTTAACGAAACACCCAGATTTTTTTTCTCTGATAAACTGAAAATAGTACACATGAAAGGTGGTTTGTGTGTGTGCATGTATGTATGATTATATACAAGTACATTAAATAAACAAGGATCACGTTTTAATATGTTGAGATTATAATATTACATTTAAAATATTAAACAAATATGAATGCATGCTACAGAACTTAACACACCAGCACGAAGGACTGCTTTTAAATTTAATGAACAAAGTACCCAGTATATTTATTATTGAACTAGATAAAAATTTATTCAATGTTTATTGCCCCAAAATATAACAACA